CTCTCTCTCTCTCTCTCTCTCTCTCTCTGTCCCTCACTCTCTCACTCTCTCTCTCTCTCTCGCGTGCTCTGCAGAAATGGACGACCACCCGAGCACGGACGACGGCGGCCGTGAGCTGGAAGGCGTCGCTTCAGAGAAGACCGACTCTGAGTCGCTGCCAGAGGAGTCAGCGTTCGAGGAGGATGTCAGGATGCCGCCGACGGAGACCGCCTACATTGCGCAGACGAGCGAGATCGGATCGGTACGTAGAGGGCGCTCCTTGCGGCGCGGCGTCGCCGCAGTATCGGCCGGGATTTGAAAGATCTGTCTCTCTGGTCGGTACAGCAATAGATTTGTTTGCCGTTCTGCGAGCGATTGTGTGTGACGTCGCCGCAGTATCGGCCGGGATTTGAAATATCTGTCTCTCCGCTTGATACAGCAATAGATTTGTTTGCCGTTCTGCGAGCGATTGTGTGTGACATCGTCGGCAGTACTGCAGGGATTCGAAAAACCCACCTCTCAGCTTGATGCAGCAATAGATTGGTTTTGAGTTCTGTAAGGGTTAGTGCGTGACGTCGTTGCAGTACAGCCAGAATTCGAAAGATCGATAGCTAGATGTTAGTGCGGCAATAGATTTGTCGTGGGGGTTATCTAGGTTGGATATGTACCCAGCGCTGCTTCGTGAGCTGTCACGCATGACATTGTCGCAGTATGGCCTGGATTCAAAAGATCAACCTCTCGTTTTGATGTGGCAATAGATTTGTTGTGGGGGTTATCTACGTTGGATTGCGTTTGGCTGTATTCAGGCAATCGCCTGATAGCTGCTGTGCTTATTTCCCTCATCCTGGGTTAGGGTTAGGGTTAAGGTTGTCGTTAGGATGGGTCTTATATGCGATATTTTGTTGCGATGTTGCGATGAAGTGAAATGTTGATCTAGAATTTTTGTATTGCAAGAAAACGATCGTTGACAGTTTCTAATAAGTATACTTTAATATCAGTAATAAAGTATAATTTATAAAAAAAAAATTTCTAGCGAGTATATATTGCTCTGCAAAATTTTTGTTTCGAAGTTGCATAATTTAAAATTACAGAAAACATACATTAAACCTACGCTAATGTGTAGCTTTAAACATATTCTGCGTAATATTCAATGTAGCATTACTGTTTGAATATAACAAGTGACACGAATATCATGTGAGTTAACTATGCGCTTACTTAGAATGTAGGAGCACTAAGAAATTGACGTGTGCTTGCACTAAGGTGGAATCATCTGTGGCATGAGTTTTTCGCTCACTGTTTTCATTTGCGTATATTTTTCAGTTTCTGGTAGGAGGCGAGGGCGTTCAGACAGAGGAGATTGCTGAGGAGAATAAGAGTCTAGTGTGGATGCTACTGAAGCAGGTATATCAATGGCTATAGCAATCCCGTACACCCATGCTGTCAATAGCCACTGCTGATACATAATACATCAGTACTATAAGGGTTCTATCAATAGCATTACTGATTTATACTGCATTAGCACTCAGTAACGGTACTAGTGTGTAATGCATCAGTACTATCAGGGTGCTATCAATAGCATTACTGATTTATACTGCATTAGCACTCAGTAACGGTACTGGTATGTAATGCATCAGTACTATCAGGGTGCTATCAATAGCATTACTGATTTATACTGCATTAGCACTCAGTAACGGTACTGGTATGTAATGCATCAGTACTATCAGGGTGCTATCAATAGCATTACTGATTTATACTGCATTAGCACTCAGTAACGGTACTGGTATGTAATGCATCAGTACTATCAGGGTGCTATCAATAGCATTACTGATTTATA